CTGGATTTCTATCGAGATCTCATTTTCACTTTCTAAATGTTATGTAACTTGCAGTATTTTTCTCAGTAAGCTATCACCAGAGACAACCTGAATTGTGTTAATTCATCAGCTCATCATCTACCACAAACAAGATAGGATACATTTGAGAAGAGGAATGGAAGTCACAGAAAACACAGGAATCTATCTCTAAATAAACAAAATACCGTGACAATACAGTGAGTCTGCAGCCACTGTAGACAGTAACACACACATCCATGGATGTGAACTGTATCAGGATTGTATCCTTAAGACCTCAAATCCTATGCATGCTTGAGATTAAACCCCAATGAACATCGCAGTCCTTACATCTGAGTAAACACATATAGGACACAGACTGTGGTTTTTTCCACACACTTTCTGCTTGTTTGTCATTATGGTTAGCAGCCTAATTTTTTTAGTATCCGCAAGAGCTAAAATCCTAACTCATGATGGTTAGAATTAACCTCATTCTCCTGCATGTCGTCACAACTCCCCCATTAGCAATGTACCCTGAAATGCAGGGCCGTTCTCCTGACAGGTTGACAGTCAGCCATCAAAAAAACTGCAGTTCTCAGAATCTTATCCATTCAGAAAAGAACTTGGGGGAGGTGGTGAATTTCATAATAATGTTCTTAGTTATTTGGTCCTTCTTGTTTGTACTTCTCATCAAACTTGTCTGCATTTCTTCCTTTCTTTTCAAACAAGCTCCTCTTTAATAATGGATAACTGCTTCCTGGAAAGTGGTCCAGCAACTGTCTGATGAAACCGTATCTCAAACTCCTATGGCCCAAACATGGGTTAAATTTTCTTGGTTCTTTTTTCCTTTTCTTCTAATCTATATATACACAGAAACACACACTTTATTCCATCACCTCTCTGGTTGTTATCTTCCTTCCCCCCCACACACACCTTTTTTTTCTTCCAAGTTCAACAGGACACTTTGATGTCTCTTGTTGTTACATCCTTTCCAGATGGAAAGATGAATAGAAAAACTGAGCATAGAAAGGAATAGCATACAGATTCTCTCTTTCCCTTCCAACCTAAACCTTCATTATATACTTTTAATTTACAGGATGGGGGAAAGGAGAACTAAAATCATGAATGCAAGCCCACCAGACAAACCCCATCCAAAACAGTTTGAAACAGAATTTGCCAGTGTATCTTTTCTTTCCTCGATTACAATGCATTATTGCCTTTTTCCATCATCATCCCATGTCAAAACCCCAACTCCCCATGCAAAACATGCAGAAAACAAGATGACAAAAAAGAGTTAACTTGAAATACTATGGATTGATGTTTTAATTATTTTTTAAATGAAAGAAGGGAAGAGGGAGACCCATCTCCACTTTCCCTCTTGCAAAGGCAATGGGTTATTTACAAACTCCTTAGGTTTTCTTAAAGCAAAAAATAAGGAAAGGGGGGAATGCAGTTTGTTAAAAAGGTGTTATGGGTTTAGTTGGCTTGGGTTTTTAAAACCCACTTTTCCCCTCTCCCGGTTCAGCAGCACCTTTCATCCTTTGCAAAATATAGCTCAAAAATCAATTAAAAGACTGATGCAAAATGCATCTTCATTGCTGCTGTAGCCAGTTAATGGGGGGGGGGATGCAAGAATTGGGGGGATGGAAAGAAAAGGAGAAAAAAATAAAGTAGCAGGATGGGGAAAGAAAAATAACATTCACATGCCAAACGCCATGCCAGGTCAAGCGACTGCATTCGACAATCAATATAATTCCGATGTATTCTTACAAACATTTTTATCAGCTGTAACAAAGGAGAGACCGCTGTCACCAAATGCTGTTGGCAGATGGCTGCTAGTCCTGGGCTTGGGGGGGGGAGGGGAAATGCCGTATATCTCTCTATATATTTATTTGAATTTGTAAAAAAAATGTAACATATTCTATTCCTTTCTCTCTTTTTTCCAACAGGCTCTCCGACTCGGCCCCCTTTTCCTCTTGTTTCTCCCCCCCCCCCCCTCCCCCCCCACCCCCCCCCCTCTTCTCCTCTCGCTTAGCTCCACACGCGCAACGACTGTTTTGCAGAAGCCCAAGCGTGCAACGGAGCTGTTCTTTTTGGCGTTTTGCTGGGATTTGTTTGGGCTGTGATTTCTTCTTTTCTCTCCTCCCTCTGTTCTTGCGGCCCCCACCCAAAAAAAACCAATAATAATACTCACTTAGGTTTATTTCTTTTCTTAACTGTAATTAATTTATGTGATTGCGCGTAGCTACCCAAAACAAAAACGCATTAAAGAAAGCGAAACGGAACAAAACAAAACCAATGCTGCTTGCACCTTCATAAGTGCTGGATGCATTTCCATGTTAGAAAGCTAAGGTAAAACAAAAGCAGGGCGACATGAAGGGTAACAGCTGCTCTTTTTTTAATTAATTAATTAGCAAGTCAGAAGGTTTTGCAAAGAGAAGTTGCCACTGAAACAAGCTGACCCCTGGATGTAGATACCCAGGACTCCTCTTACAAGCGACTCCTGGATCCCCACACCCACCCCATCTTCAGCAATGGTACAAAAAGCACTTCGTTCTACGCCTCTCTGTCTCTCTACCTCCTCCCTATCCCACCGCCTCTCAATATGCTCCCTTGGACTATTTTTGGCCATTACTGGAACCCACTGCCACCTTTCTCTTCCTTGCAAAAGTGGCGCGCCTTTTTGCAAGACTTCTCTGCTTTGCAAACTGTGCGCGCGCTCCGCTTTGCAAAATGGTGCTACCTTACTTAGAAAGGTCCCCCCCTGTGCATACATAGACACACGCACGAACAATTTCTCACACTCTTCTGTACACGCGCACACACAGAACACACAGCAATACACACCTGCCTTCCCCCCACCCCAGGTTTTGGAAAAACGATCACACTGACAAATATACACACACGCACATGCAGACAGTACAAAGCCGCCCAGCGTTTCTACAGGGCACCCGGACCTTGCCAAGGAAGAAGTCGAGTAAAAGGCAGCACCCTAAGACTACCTGTACGCTGGCATCTCTCCCACAGCCACCCACCCCTCCACCCACCCCAGAGTTCGGTTCTAGCCCCGCTTGCGAGCCGGGCTTCCCTGACGGGAACAAGCACCCCCATCCCTGCTCTCCCCCACCCACCCACCCACCTCGCCTTCATCGCGCCGCCGCCTCCACCTCCTGCGTTCCTGCTTCTCCCAGCTCCCCACGCCGGCCTCGCCGCACCATCCCTGGCCCAGCCGTTCCATGTGGTTCCCATTAAGCACCCCCCCTCCACGCTTTCTCTCTCTCTCTCTCCAGCCACCTTTCTCTCCCCGGCTGCCGCCGTTCTCCGGCGCTGGCCAACTTTGGACCAGGCTTTCCCACCCAGCCTCTCTCCAAGCCCCTGCTTGCGATAACAGCCCGCTCTCCACGGCCGGCTTCTCCCCCACTCCAGCGGCTTCAGGCCTCCTTCGCTCCCGCCACGCTGCCTGCAAATTCGCCTAAAACTTTGCTTCCCACCACCCACCCGACAACACGCACACCTCTCTCTCCCTCTCCTCGGCTCCCCCCTCTCCTCTTCGTCTCCCCTCGTCCTAGTCAGCCAGCCAGCCAGCCAGCCAGCTCCATGCACACACGCCGCCGCCGCCGCCGCCGCCTTCCTCCTCCCTTCTTCTAAACTCTCCAAGACCCTTTACTTCGTCCCCCACCACCGACTAGCTGCAGTCCTTCCCAGTCAATTTCACAAGAGGGGCACAAACGCGCCCCAAGTTTCGATCTCTTCCCTCCCCCCCCAATATACACACACTTTTCCTTTCGATCCGGCTCCTCGCGAGTTGCAACTTACGCGTGATAATTTCCCTTTGTGATAAGTGCTGCGGGTTTCCCTGCTTGCGACGGGACATTGCCCTTGCATTTACACGGTCATCTCCTGGAGAGCTGGACTTGGGTAGGGGGGGATCGGGTCGGAGGAGGAGGGAGCGATCTTCTTTTTCTTTTCTTCTTCCTCCTCCTCTTCTGTTTTCTTCTTGACGGATCTCTTCTTCTTTTTTAAAAAGCACAATGAAGAACTTTAAAAGAGAGAGAGAAGAGGGTGAAAAACTCTTTTCCCCTCCTTGGCGCACTCAAGATGAGGTTCTTCCTTCAATTAAAAAAGCAGCATCGAGAGAAATGGGGAAGGCTTGGTTTTATTTTCGCAAGACCACTGTCTTTTTGTGTTGTTTTTCCTTTCCACCGCTTCCAGATCTTTTCTTGAACTTCAGGAGAGAAGATGGGTTCCCCCCCACCACCACCACCACCACCACCTTCACCAGGCGCTGACACTTTTATTTTTCCAGAGTGCTTAGGGGTGGGGGGCGGGGTAGCGAAAAAGAAGTGGGGGGAAGCAAAGTGCACTTCTTCCACCAGGAGGGTTTTCTTTAAAAAAAATGAAATAAAAATTGGGTAATGTACACACACGCTCGCACAAAAGTAGAAAAATTGGAATTTGCCCACACGCAGAGAAAAATGCAAGAAGAAAAATTACCCTTGCTGGGTTAATTAGAATTCTTTCTTTTCTTGGCTTTTTTTTTTAAAGGGGTAGCCCAAACTGTGTCTCCTCTTTGCCAGTTCAAGTACCACTGGGTTGGTTTTTTGTTGTATTCTTTTTTTCTTTTTTTTTTCTTTTTTTTTGCTTTGCTCGCACCACTTTGCCACTGGCTTCCCCCCTCCCTTCGCTTGGCACAGGGTCTTGCTAGGAAGGAAGCCCCCCAGTGCTTCTGGGTTAGTGCTGGCTATTACTAGGAGATATATTGCAATGTGAAGATGGCGGAGCCCTGGTTCCCTGGGAGCGCTCTGTCTCTCTATGGCTGGGTCTACCTCCGTACAATGGGATAAAATTCAAGTTCAAGTGCGGACGTGACGTTTAATCTGCACTAGAGACAAAAAAGACCTAGAGAGTAGGAGCACTGGGGGCGACTAGCGGTGGCTTTTTAACATTGTACCCTGCAAGAGAACAAGAAGAAGGGGGAAAAAGAGAAGGAGAAGGAGGAAAACCACCCTCAAACACTCCCAGCACACGCGCCGCGCCGATTGCTTGGCCAGCGCTGCTTTCTGCGGGGCGACAGCCAAAATGAAATTAACTGAATTTAGAAAAGAGAAAGGGGAAAGGAGAGAGAGGGTATGGGGGAAAGGGGGGGCAAGGCATCAGGAAAGCGGGGGAAGGGGAGTCCTTCCCAACCCATCCCCGATCAGGTCTAGGAGTCAACGTCTGGAGGGTCCTCGGCGCGGTGGGGGAGGTAGTCCTGACCCGGGCCATCCCCCGCCCCGCTCCTCCGCCCACTGGCAGGAGGCCCAAATGGGACGGACGTCTCCCGGGGGAAGTGGGGGGGAGGAATAGGTAAAGGGGTTGGTTAAGCCAAGCAGGCTGGCGCCGGAAAGGCGAAAAAAAAAGACTTGGGAATGATCGGCTCAGCCCGGAGAACCAGCCAGGGTGGCTGGAGGTGGGCGCCCAGGAGACGCGGGGTCCGTCCTGCTCTCGCTCAATCCACCTGCTCCGAGATCTCCCAGGCGGCTGGATCTTGGCTTCGCTGGGATCCATTCGCTTTCCTCTCTTTAAACTAAGAGCTCCCTCGCTCTCTTCTCTGCACGCAGGCAGGCGGCGGCAGCCCGACTCTGCTCCAAACACCTTCGCAGTGCATTTCCAACAGTTTTTACAATAACACAAATATCTGCGTGGGGGAAGCGATATTTCTCCCCCCCCCATCTGAACTGCGATTGCAGAGAGAGCCACAAAGACACACACACACGCGTTTCTCTTTTTCGCTTTCTCTTTCTCGTGTTTAGGGGGAAAGAACCCTACCAAATCCCTGGACATTGCAAGTCCGTGCTACAGACTCGCATTGACCCTAAAGAAGCCGGGCTGCCGGCCAAGGCGAGACCGACGACCTAGTCTTGGTGCGCCCATCTCCACGCGTCTCCCGTCCACCTCCACCCCGATACAGTCCTGCGAGTGTTTGCTAAGACAGGCAGGCCGTTGGGCGTTATTGGGGTCCGTCTGTTCCTGAAGAAGTTTGTCCCGGTAACAACGCCCTGAGTTACATACAGCTCTGCTTTGCACTGAATGTTTTCCGTCCTGCATGCATCCCTTAGCCTGAACGACCGTCTACCCTGAGGGTCTCTCAAGGTCTACACGCTTATTGCAAGACCAGGGTCTTCTAAGCCGGGTCAAATCACTCATACTAACAAAGACCGCCTGCTTCCATTTTCATACACGGCGGGAGATTGGGGCCCTCCAATGCAACCCATAAATGTGGGAGGGAACAAGAGGGAATTCGTCGATTCCACCAAAACTTTCAACGACTCTGATCTGCTATAAGGGGTAGTGAAAATAGTTCCAAGGAACCATTCATCTGCATGCAATGGGGTTTGAGTCTATGGGCTCGTAAGAAGCTACAGGTCACCTGTAGTAGGGGCATTGTCTTCAATTGGCCTACTCCAGTGTAGGATCGCCAAGCCTCAACGATCCGGAAGTGTACCCAGCATCCTCTGCGACTTTGCTAGGGGGTCTCTTTGGACAGCGTCCTAGCTCTGGGGCCACGCACTTTCCATTGGCTACTCAGAAGTCTGCAAGCTGCAAGGACTTGGGTTAGTGCTTGCCTGAAACATTGCGGGCCTTGCTTCTCAGAAAACTATTTGAGGATCGCGGTTTTGAAAAGGGCCACCGTAGCAATGGCTCTGGGGATGCAAACAGGTGACCCGCTGTCCCTCTCTCTCACTTCACTGCGGCAAAATCGACAGCGTCTTGTGGCACCTTGAAGACTGACGCATTTATTTGGGCGTCAGCATTGGACCCTAGCCTGCCTTCATCAGATGCATTTCTGGAGAGTACCTGATGTACGCACAGTGCATAAGGTAGGGAGAAAAGTGCACGAAAGCTTGTGGCAAAAGAAAGAGCGTGGTTTTTAAGGTGCTACAGGATTCTTCGTTCTTGCTACACTGGACTATCTTATGGGACGTGAGCGGAAGCGCTCCAGAGCCTGGGCACCATTTGGTTACGCGAGATCCCACTGAGATATGGGAAGCTGGATGGTCCACTAGAACTGGCGGTGGCTCTCCAGCTTTTCAGTAAAGAGTTTTGCCAGTCCTGCGTGGAGATGTTGGGGACTGACGCTCGGGCCGCTGAGCTGCTGCCTGGGAACCCTTTGAACTAGACACAGGGAAAGGAGGGTAGCCGTCTCCATACGTGGAGGATCATTTCCCTGTGACTTCACTCCCCAACACCATCCTTCCCATATAGGCTTATTTTCGCCCTTGTATCCTGTGCTGGAAATAATTCCTGCTACACGAGCAACTGTTAGGAAGTTTGCACCCTCCTGGCGCACTCTGGCCGGATAGGGTGGAACTGAACTGAACCGAACCAGGGAGGTGGGGATGGAAGGCGGTGCCGTTTCCCTTCTTGTAAGAGACCCTCGGGTTACCTGTGTTGCATTAGAAACGCACTTTTCCATTTTAAGATTCTGTTCGTTTTCCCCATCTGGCGCCCTTCAGAGGAATTGGGATGGATCACAAGGCAGTCATCTCTATCGTGCATGGCCATTGTGCCTGAGGATTATGGGAATTTTAGTCCAAAATATTGGAAGCTGGGGAAGTCTTCCTCCTCTCGTGTGAAGAGGTTCCTCTCAGTCCTGCTTGGTTACTTCCGATCGTGCCCCCAGACTGCCATGGGTATGGATACTTTTTGTGAGCTGCATTCATATATTAAGTTCGTAAACGGGGCGTGGGGTCCAGGAAACAGGCCAAAATTACTCCCCCTCATTTTCAAGGGAAAACGAGGTGTATTCTTAAGAGACTGCAGTTCTCTTATAAAGTTATCAGGGAAGAGAGACTATTGAACGCAATAGGACTTACTTCCGAGTAAGCCTGTCCCTTTACCCCAGTACAAGCCATGCAGCATTAAAAGCCCCTGTCAGAGCAATCCAAGGAATGTTCATCCCGAGTTCTGTGGAGTTGAATTCCAGGGAAGGATTGCAACCTGTCTGAGCCCTTTTTATGCTGGAAGAAAAGGAAAGCACCCAGTTCTGACATTCTTCCTTTTGAAGCAATGTTGAAAATAACTTTTTTTTTTAACCAAAACCCTAAATGCACCCCCTCCTCCATCTTCAGTTGCTCTTAGGCCACTCCCACCGATTCGTTCCCACCTGAGCGGGGCTTTTCCTAGACAGAAAAGGTAACTCAGCTACCACCAGTTTCCCACCACCACCCCCACTCCACCCCCCACCCGTTTCATCCGCGAATGGGATGCTACGGCTGGCTTCATTGGCGGGCGTCAGGCCAAATTTCCCCGGCCCTTTTTGCTGAAGACCCCATTCACAACGGGCAGGAGACAGAGCGAGCCATTCAACGCCTCTCCCAGCCGTTCCCGAGGTCTCCTCTCAGCTTTTGCAGATTTGCTTGGATGTTACAGGTTTCCCCATAAGGAAAAAAGGAAGGGAAAGTAGCATCGCGATAGGAGCGACCCGTCCACACATACATACACAGAGAGAGACACCCCGCAAGCAGCCGCGGGAACAGAAAGATTGCCCCTTTGAGACACGCGCGCGATGTTGCAAAAAGTTCTCCAAACAATCCTAGCGAGAAAGAACGGGAGGGCGAGGGCTCTTTACATGAGATGGAGGGGGGGATTTGAGGCGCTACGGCGCTCCAGATGAACAGCATTGCTTCCGCCCCCCTCCCTCGCCCACACACAAAAGTTGGGATCTTCTGAGCTCCTTTCAGATCCTTTTCTCCTCTGGCCACTCTCCGCGCTTGGAAGGCGTCAGCCCCACCTGGCGTCAGTTGGATGGATTCCCTAGGGGCGGGAAGGGGGCTGCCAAGGTAGCCTTTGCAGACAAGGAATGCGAGGTGGGGCCAGTCGCTGCCCGACCTCCAGCCACTCTTGAGTTCGCGCGTGAGCGTCTTCCCAGGCAGAATTTCTACAGACACTTTTTCGAGTGTTTTTATTTTCTTCTTTCTCACAGTATTTTTCCCGATTTCCTTCTTTGCGTCTACTTTTTCTTTTCATTTTTTTCTAACTTTCATTGCTATTGCTGGCCAGTTCAATGTATTTCTTATGGCTGCTGTCCCATACTGAGAGAGAGAGATAAAATTTCTGTTCCACTTTTAAGAGCAGCCTTTAAATTAAGAATAAGCGTCGCACAGAATTAAGTCATCCGTGTAAATATACACTGAATTGGCAATAAAATAGTTTGATACCTGGTGCATGTGCGTGTCTGTTTGAGAACTCCTTGCCATACTTTCCATGTGCCAATCCTTGCAGCGCCTCGCAGTCGATCCTATTGCTTAAAATGTACTCTTTGTGCAGTTTTACTTTGGAACTCAGTTGAACTTTATTCTAAGATCAGACTACTTATGAAGAGAGAAGCGGCGGATGCACTTCATGTATTAACATAATACAACCTTCTGTTTGTCTACTCAGATGTAAGCCCCATTGAGTTCCACAGGACCCAGTCCCCGGAAAAAGTGTGTGGGATTGCAGCATAACTGCATAGGATTGCAGTTCGTAAGAAGCAGTGTTCATAGACTCTGAGGAATGTAAAGTACTGTCTATTCTGGCAGACGATTCTGAATACAGAATATAGGAAGCATGTGGTCTTGTGAACGCGACCTACGTGTTGGAGGAGG